CTCAGCCTCCACCAGGAAAGTCCCGGGGCCACTCCAGCCCCAGTCTGTAGCGGCAGCCCACCCTGCTCCACATGTACATCTGGGGGCACACACCCCCCATGTCCTCCCAGGGTGCACATAGCAGTAGGAGCTGCCCCATGCCTCCCTGTGTTCCCCGGACAAGCGGCTTGTGGCTCTGTCCTGCGGCCCACCCCAGCTGTGCAGCACCTGCCCCAGCCCCAGCCCTGCTCCCTCCCTCACCGCGGGGGCCTCTATCTGCACCCCACCATGGCCCTTCCCTCACAACAGACTTACCAGCCAGACCCGGCTGCTCTCCAGCCTGCTGGGCTGCGCTCCTGGCTGCCTGCGTGCTGCACTCATGCACGGGGCATTTATCAGCCCCATCAGCCAAAAAAGGCCAATGGTCGACACTGTCAATTTTCCTTATATCGGTGCTGATCCGATATGGGACCGATGTATCGGTGCACCTCTACCTGCGGCCCTAACAGATCTAACTACTCCAGCAAACCCAGTGTGTAGACACAACATCTGGCAGCAAGAGTTGCTTGGAGATTATACCAGTGCAAGCCTGTCCTTTGCCAGAATAAGCTGTGCTCTCACCATGGGGCTTTGTTCGAATAGCCTTCCTGGCAGTGCCTTTGCAGTGTCCACTAGCCTTCTGCGTCTTCTCTGACTAGCAAAAGGGGGAGAGGAGGCTAACAAACTTCCCTCCCTTTGTGGATAAGCCCAGTGTTGTCTCGGTGGAAGGCACCATTGAGAGACAATGCACCAGTGTGATTCGTGTCAATGGACTGTGGAGCCGTCCCCACCACTGCTGTACACATCACTGAGCCCTGGCCATCCAGAGCCATTCTTGGGTAAATTCCCAGCCTACGCCGGGAGCAGATGCTGAAACCTGTGGTGCTTGTGAAATGGGCCATAAAGTCCTTCTGCCTGGCTGTGTCTTTTCACATAAGTGTCACTGCCAGGGACAGCCCTTTGAGGCTGTCCTCGCGGGAATGCCCATACGATGCCAGGCCAGTGCAAGCAGAAGGTTGCACACCTGGGGTGTCAGGGCAGAGCAGAGTGAATGGAAGCAAGCTGGTGGTGTGCCTTGCTTTCCAAGAGCAATGCTTTCTCTAAGCCTTGGCCTCTTCACTCATCTTGAACCAATACATGCCACCCTTTCTCTCTAGGTTGAAGTTGGGTTTCATGTTTCAGGACATGACAAGGTAATCTGGTACAGAGGGATCAAGTCAGCACAAGAGTTAGGAGCTAAGCGGTTATAGGTTTGCCATTCATACACATTGCAACCACAGGCAAGTCACTTCAATGATCTGTCCCCCATTTTACAGATAGGGAAAGGTTATTTCCTCATCTGCTTCCCAGGGCTGATGTGAAGAATCATTGGTAAAGATCTCTAGAAAAGCATAGGGGAAAATATGTTAACACCTCTCCTCCCCTTGGTGTCAGATCCCATCCAAAAATTGAAACCTGGGCACTTTTAACCAGCCCTGTTAGCCAGCATCTGACCCCATCGCATGCTGGGAAACAAGCAAAGTGGTGACACTGAACATGCAAAAATCAACTCTCTGCCACTTACTCTTCCATTTGTTTCTCCCTTCCACCATCCCTGGTCCCCGCCTATCCTGCTGTAGATTTTCACCACGTCACCCTCTCGCAAGGAGAGCTCCCGCATGTCCCGCGCTGCAAAGTTGTACCGCGCTACTGCCGTCCCTATGACGCGAGGTGTGAACACTGTGGGTGGACGAGGAAAGGGGATTAGAAGCTGGCACAGCTGGGAGAGGTCAACTGAAGCCTGGGCAAAGCTAGACTAGGTTCAGCCTGGGTTTTCACCAGAATCCTCTTTTCCACTTCAAGACCAGGGCAGCAAATCAGCTCTGCGGCCTGAGAAAGCAAATCCAGTATCAGGGCAGCTCCATTTTAATTCTTCAATCACATTTGTACTGGAATCACAGGGCTGTAGGAGATTTCCAATGTTGGGTTTTCCATTATCAACATCTCATTGATCTCTTAATAAGTCTCGATCAGCTGTACCACTCCATTAGTCACTGGATGGCCAGGAAGGGGACTGTCTAGTAGGGGCTATTACCTTCTCCTTGAGTATTGCTGAAGGTGGTTGGGTTGAGAGCCAGCTCAATGGGAAGCAGTATAAAAGTCAAGGTTTTATAGGAACAAAGGAAACAAACCAACAAAAACATATATTTCAATGTTATTCCCATCGTATCTGCGGGGAGGGGGAAAGTTATTGCTCCAAGTGCCCAATGGGCTGCTCCAAAGGGAGATTTCCAAAAGGAGTTTATATTTAAGATGCCTCAGAATTGGGAATCAGATCGATTCTTTCCAAGCAAGCTGAGCAATACCTGGGCCTTGGAATACAAGGCCAATTACTTAGCCTGATAGTGGCTGGGATGGTGGTCTTGGGAAAAGGGCCCCAGGTTCTTGGGTCATGGAATAGGGTCCATCTGTGTGACAGTCTCCTGGCAAGGAGAAAGCTCTTCCTAATCCCAGCTGGTTATAAATGTATGCTCCCAAGCATGAGGTTTGAGAGGCTCTATGATATCAGAGGAGCCCCCAATTTTAATCCAGTGAGCGAGGCAGCGAGTTGGGGATGTTGGCTGCTAAGAATGAGCAAGAGCTGGTCAATGGTTTATAACATGCAAGCAACATTCATGGCTCAAATTGTCTCTGGGACCGGGAACTGAATTGATATCAGGTGGCAGCACCAGGTGGAGTCCTCGGTGGCTTCAGGCCAGGAAAGAGGAGGGTGGTTTCCTTTGGCACAGAGGAGCAGAGGTCAAATGGGTCAAAAAGGTGAGGAGTCCCACCTGGATCCTGTGCGCTGGCAGAGGGAAGTGGGGGTTTAATGGCATGAAGGGATGTGACTTTTGTGATGGTGCTTTCTCCTTGTCACGAGATGTGCATGCTGCAGGCAAATAAAGAAGGAGAAAAGGGTCCTTTCTGGAGATCTACAAACCTGCTTACATTTGGTTTCTATCAAACAGTCCTCGAGCCTGAGGACCTTCTAGCTGAACTTAATACATTTCCAGAGGTTTCTGCAAACCAAGGTTGAACTGGCGTTGGGTGAAGAAAGCTTTGCCCAGGTCTCCAGCTCTCAGGATAGAAGGAAATGAGGATGGCAACAGAGATGATTAATACACAGAAAATACAATTATTGCAAGGCTCATTCTTCCTAGCCAGGGTGCCAGGCTAGAGAATGGAGCGTGAATTATGAAAGCTTTGAACTCTTTCATCAGCAGCTGGCATTTCCAGCAAATTTAAGTGGGGGGGGAAGAATTGCTTTATAAAATGACTTACAGAGCTCAGCACAATGAAGCCCCAAATCAGGGTGACAAGACAGGACTATTTTTAACCTGGCAATAAAACCCAATAAAAATGCCTCCACCTTTTAAAAAATACCAGTACCAACAGCATCTTTGACACTTGTTTGTTCTTGGGGAGTTTGCAGCACTCAGGAGCTCGGCTTTAATTTCTGCTGTCCAAAATGAAGAAAAGGCCCAAAGCTAAAAGACAAAGAGCTGGAGCCCAATTTGTTTCTTAAAGTGCATTTTTTGCATCTCATCTTTTAACACATTTCTGGGCAGACCAGAAAAGGAGGCTGCTTATTCGTAGTACGTGTGAGTGGACAGGGTTTAGCGATGAAGACACCACCCCGCTTTCTAAAGAGTATGACTTCAGCAAAGCAGTTGTTGACCTCTCGGGCTCTCCGCGGCAGCGCTGATTAAAAAGCTGCAGAGCAATGCTGATAACACCAGAGTTCAAAACTATTGGAAATGTAACCCTTCTATAATTACGGCAAGGAAAAACAGGGCTTTAACGATGGTGTGATGGCAATGGCCGTTCTCAGAGACACGCAGGGAAATCCGGTCACGCTTGAAGCACACAGTCAGATCCCAATGTATTAGATTGGCATCTTTTTCTCTCCCCTCTGTCCATATTTTAATGTTTCCCTGGTTATCCTTCTGCCCTCCCAGCTTGTACCCCAAGAGGTGCGGGTATGGCAGTGGATCTTCTCATTCAGATTAGAAGGGACAGCAAGGGGTTTTAGGCAGGGGTCCTGCGATTGAAGGCTTTCAAGCAGGTGACTTTTGTGTCACATCAAACGGCAGGCAGAGACTCTGCGACTGCAGAGACGGCCGGTAGATGGTGCTTTCGGCTCACGAACAGACGGGGCTGTGTACCTGACCAGAAAGGAGTAGAGGAATTCTGAGAAGAAAAGTTGAGGCCCTGAGGACTGAGAAAAGAAAAGTTGTAGGAAGCACAGGAAGCTGCAAAGAGGTCAGAGAGAAACACAGAGAAGCAGAGGGAACACGAATTAAAAAGGAAATGAAACCCCAGCCATGCCGTAAAAGCTAACAAAGAAAGATAAAACAAAGCATGCAGCACTTGGTCAGAAGCTCTCGGCGGTGGCAATAAGGCAGCAGAAAAAGCTTGGACAAGACTGCGAAGGCAGCTAACCTAGCTAAAATACAATGGCCAGATTTGCTTTTACTCATACCAGCATAAATCAGGAGGGAGATTCCCAGGTTTGCTTCTCATTTTGGCAACGTTGGCATGAATCTGCTGTCACTGGCCGTTGCAGAAAGGTGGCTAGCACTAGCTGAACACTGTCAATCAAAACCCTTCCCTGCCTCTCCGCAACAGAGAAGGCCATTCCTTGTGGTTGAAATTCGATTTTTACACCTAACCATTTTCAATGTTAAACGTAAGGTGATTTTCATAAGCCAACCTCATTCATCGTTCCTTTCTTCCTTCCCCTCTTTTGGAGAACAGGAAAAATTAAAGGAATGCTACTTACTAAAATGACATTTTTTTCAAAATTAAAAAACAAACATTGAAAACATTCAATTTTTGAAGCTTTCAGAGAAAATGAATTTTCTTTTGATGTCAATTTTTTCTGAAAAAAACACCCCATTCATTTTAGCAATCAGATCTTGGTTGCTGGAAGAGTTTCGCTGGGTTTGAAATGAGTCTAAACAGACTATTTTTTTAGTTAGGCGCAGAAGCATTTGCAGTTAAATAGGCAGGATGCTTGTGTCTCCCGCTGAACAGGTCCTCCTGCTCCTTTTGATGGGCTTCTGTCCTTTTATCTTTATAATGAAGCGCCTGAAATTTCTCAGGTGGAGATCACTGACTAGTCTGATTTTTGGCACACCATAATTGGCATTTGCTTTGGCAATATAGGGGAGATCCTACAATGTGCAGAACCCCCGCCCCGCTGCAGAGCGGAGCGCACTTTGCACCTTGCAAAACCATAACCGTAGCCCGTTATGCAAAAAGGGGCTGGAAAATTGGTAACGGGATGCATCAGCAGAAAATAAACCCCAAAGTATCACAGCCAACAAGGTCGTTTCCTGGAGGATGTTTGAAATAAAGGCTCCAAATGAATTAAAATGAAATTTCCTCCAAATGAAAGGAAAGAGAATTCCTCTCCCATGAGTTTCTTCCATGTCTGACTTTACAAACTTCTTTCCCACCTCCCATGTGATCTCACTCCGAGCCTCATCCTTTCAGCATCTCTGCTGGGGGCAGGACAGGGGGAGCCCAGCCTGAATTCACCTGCTTGGAAAGAAACCAGGACAGTGCAACTGGTAGAGCACGAGACTTCATTTCGGGCTCGAGAAGCCCAGATCCCAGCCTGGGCATATTCCTTTCTTGAGGTCACAGTAGAAGGGCTTAGGAGTCCCTTCTGGCCATAAAATCTGGGAACCCTATTTTGTTACTAGACGGATCTTCTATACTTTACCCCTCAGGTATTTCTCAAAGATATGAAAGGGGCACTGGCAGGGTGGTTTCCCACAGAAACGGCTGTGTTACATTGGATGTGCTTTGCTGGGGTGGTTAAGATGGTTGTTACCTGGGGAGCGAGCGAAGGTTCTGGAGGTAGAGCGTTCCCGCGATTTGTACGGGTACTTTAATGTTGTGTCCAGCTGTTTAAAACTCTCCTTCAGCGAGTGGGTCTGGTAGTACTCAACTAATTCCTGGAGAGAAGACATCATGTGCATTAGATTGTCACTGAGGTTCGGCAGGTCTCCAAACCAGCCAATGGTACCCACAGCCACAGCCTGGGAGCTGACAGGCAGCTTCAAAAACATACCAAGAGGCTTTCAAACTTTTTGGCTTCTGTGATGTGAATCCAGTTGTCCTTCTCCACCACCTTTATGTGTTTCACTTCCTCGTTAAACCTGTGACGGGAATCACAGAAGCTCAGAAATCGCCTGACACATAGGCATTCGATTATGCCTCACTGGGCACGTCTACACATGTGTGTTTACTGCGCAGTCACCAAAATGACTGCACAGTATGGGCGTGCATCTACACATGCATGCCCATACTGTGCAGTAAATATGGTGACTTATGCTGACTTGAGCATAAATTTGATCCCTGCATCATGCAGGGATCAAATTTATGCCTGACTAGTTACTGCACAGTAATGCACGTGTAGGTGCATTACTGCGCATTAACTCTGTGTGGGGATTGACTTGGGATTAATTTTAGTCTCAAGTCTGTCCACACACAGTGTTAATATGCATACATTTCATAGACATTAGGGCTGGAAGGGACCTCGGGAGATCATCGAGTCTGGCCCCCTGCCCCAGGGGCAGGAAGTCAGCTGGGGTCATAGGATCCCAGCAAGATAAACATCCCAATTTCTCTTGAAGGTGTAACAAAGTAGGTGCTTTAACGCCTGCACGTGTAGACACCTGCCTATTCCCACTTACTGCGCAGTAACTTTAAGCCGGTGTAAATGCACATGTAGACACACCCACTGTGTAATAGTACTCAGTGTTTTTCTCTCTATTGTGAACATTAATGATTTGTTTCAACCTCCTGGCAGGCATGACCATATTCCCCATTGCAGATGGAGAATCTGAAACATGAGGTTAAGTGAGGCGAGGTCTGAGTCAGAGCTGGGAGCAGAACTCTCCCATTCCTGGCTTAGTCCTGCATGAAGTACCCACGAACCTTAGTAGCCATTTGTGGGGTCACAGGGAACTAGCTGTTCAATGTAAGACCATGCTACAGCCACTGCCTGATGCCTGAACTTCCAGAGGAGCTACTTGAGTAATCCAGAAATATTCCGATTCCAACAGCCCAATACCAACATCTAACTGGCCCTTCATCTCAGTCCTTCTACTTGGTACTGGTTTGATTGCTTCAAATCCAGCAAGGACACGGTTATCTGCTCCTACAGCTGGGCATCAGCAGTAATGCATCTTAAATACATGCCTCCAAGTCGGGTTAATCAGGGGAGCTGCACTTGCTATTTCAAAAGAAGGAAGAAAGAAGCATCTTCTGTCGAAAGTTTACCAGCCTCTAATACAATCGGGCTGTCATAAGAATCACGAGATTTCCTCAGGGGCAGAGCCAGAGGAGAGCGAGGCTTGCACATTCAACAACGTCATGCTCACAGGCACGGCCTAGATTGCTACCAGCTCACTCCACCATGCTGTCCTGTGTTCCCTGGACACTTTATCTCAGCTCCATTTGTGCAAACGCCCGCTGTTTCATATATATATAGTAAGGGGTTGGAAGGGACCTCACAAGATGATTGGGTCCAGCCCCCCTGCATGAGGCAGGAAAGACAGCTGGGGTCAGGTGATGCAGGAGTGTCTTTGGACATCTTCCACTGGGTGCCAGGTCGTGGCAGAAGCCTTACTCAGTGTAGTAATGTAGGTGGCTTATACTCACTTAATGCTGATTGCAAAGCGTTCAGCCTCCGCTGGCCTCTCCCGGATCAGGTATGTCCCACTCGCATGTGACTTCAGCAGGTTGTCGGCCTGCTGCCTCTCCATGTTCCCTGCAAACCTAAATGGACACATCCTTTAGGTGCTGCCAACACAGAGCAGCCAGGTACCATGCGGGGAGGGTTGTCAGGCAAGGCTCTGTTAGGTACCGTGTAGAGTTGTACAGCACTTTGAATTGTACGGGGGTTAAACTTTCAATAAGTTATTCCCTATTGATCAGAAAAAAACCGCCTCCTTAAACAAAAAGGAGCAAGGACTTCTCCATTGTATTTCCCCCACTTCTGCATTAAGTGACAGCACGGTCCTTACACTAGGAGCTACTCTTCTATGATCTCACGAAAGCCTTATAGGCCCTGGTTCTCTACTTGCCTTCCTCACAGACCATGCTGTTTGACAGCACCCTCCAGAGGTGATAAACCTCCTTTCTGATCTCGGGCACAAAGATATTGCACTGCTCTAGCATGGTACAGAATTTGCATATTAATAATATTAGGTCAGATTTTTTTTTTTTAATTATCACCTTAAAGATTTGCATTGTGTAACAAAACAGTCCACTATTCAAGGGCAGTTGGGAGGATCATTCAAGAAGGTCTGATCAAGCTCTTTATAAGCAGACAAGAAAGTGATCAGAGGTATTTAAATCACAAGGAACTACTTTGCAATTTAAGAGGAAAGATTTAGCGACACAGAATGCTTTGAAGTCCCTTGATTTATACAGCTCCTAGAAAAATCACATGGATTGAGCAGGAGTCCCCAGATGAATAGATTTTTGTGAACTTCTTTGGGGGTTAATTTAGGACTCGGGAAAGTAAAGCACCGACAGAAAGAGCTTAAGGGCAGAGGTGGGGATATACGAAGCGCAGCTTTTCCTGCAATGATCTGCTAATGCTCTATACTGACCTCCTGCATCCGTCTCCTGAGCAGGGGGCTGCCAATCATGTCAAGAGGCACATGGGACAAATAACACAGAGGAAAGTATGATGGCATCGACAAATGCATTTCTACTTGTGCTCTCATCTACAGCCATTAATGACGGCACCACTGCCAGGCCCCCTCTACACATGCAGGTAAAGACGCAACGGGATCTAACGTGCGAGTCACACAATCACACCACCTGCCATACCACACACACAGGGCAGGAGGTGCGATTGTGGGATCGCACATTAGATCCCATCATGCCTTATTGCTGGGGTAGGGGGAGCCCAGGCTCCCCCTGCACCGGCAAGTAGTAGTTTCCCAGGGTTGGGAGCCCCGTGCACCCCAGGTGAGGGGCCCCCAGCCATAGGGGTGTCCTATGCAACCCTAGGGCTGGAGCTCTGCTGCTGCAGCGATCTCCCCTTTCCGGAGGTGTAGGGATCCCACAGGGCCAGAAGATTGCTGCAGGGTGACCCCTCTGCCTCGGGGGTGTGGGAAACCCCTGGGCCTGGAGGATCACCGTAATCCTCTGGCCCTGGGGGTTTCCAGCATCCTGGAGCCCTATGTATCACAGCAACCATGATCCCCAGGCTCCAGTGGTTTCCCACACCCCCAAGCCCTAAGCATTACAGCAGCCATGATCCATAGGGCTTGGGGGTGAGGGAAACCCCCAGACCCTAGGGATCAGGGCTGCCACCATCCCTAGGGATCGGGGGGTTTTCACTGGGCATGGCGCACCCCTGCAGCTGGGAGCCCCACAGAGAAGACTCTGCTACATGTGCAAATTAAAGCTCGATAGCAACCCGCTATAAAGTTAGTACACGTTTTTGAAGTCTAACTTTATAGCTGGTTGGAGCTTTTTATTGTGTGATAGCTACTTTGCACGTGTAACCGTGGAACACCTGTAACATGTAGAGGGGGCCCCATGGATAGCGGTGGGGCTTTGGATTGGGCTCTGAATTTAGACTCCGCTCATCAGCAACAAAATGCTTATGCACCAGCGCAGTCGACCATCTTTGCCCTGTTCGTCTGAAATTCCCACAGCTTGCTCTGCATCGATAGCAGCTAGGAAACAAAAGCAGATTCTCACTCCCGTTCACAACTTGGTATTACACAGCGGATGCGTGACAAAAAAACAAAATTAGAAGGCCAAGTCAATATATCTTTATGTTTGTCATAAAGTATTTTTATCTGTAGGTCCAATTTAACAACCGACTTACCAAGGGTACGCGGTGTAGTCTATTTCTCTCGACGGAGGCCGGCTGTTGGGAGGCTGAAGCAAAGAGAATAGTGCTTATTACTGGAGAGCACAGATCTAATTAGGTTATAGATCACCTTGGATATGCTCCTCTCTGGGAGTCTTTTTATATGCCAAGCATTTTATGAATTATTGTCTTCGGAGTTGGAGGAAGGGTGCTACAATCAACTGCAGCTCTGTTAAACACGCCACACAAAATAGCTATGCTGAGTGGACCATGGCCTTCGATTTATTTGAGCCCTTTATTGCCAAAAAGCAAGTGAAAGCTTTTAAAACTTGCGGTGAAAACCAGGACATAGGTTTTGCACTGTATAATTGTTCTCAGAGCAGATTGCAATGTTGGCTAAGCATGGAAAAAGCGTGCCACACAAAGGAAAGCAACTTTCCAGAGGGGCAGAACTGGGAAAAGACGCAGACTCCTTGCCCACTACTCAGCCCCCTAGATCACACTGCAATGCTGACTTGCAGAATAAGCCAGCTGCTTGTTTGTAGATGATCTGTTTTTTGATGTCAAAGTCCAAACGGGAAGAGGAGGTAAGCAGATTAGTCATTGGCAGTAATCCCTCACCAGCAGCATCCCGAGGTGCATGGCCGAAGGTTGAAATATTATAAGCAATGGCCAAAGGTGCCACCCAGTCAGGGAGATGACATCTGGGTAGAACTGCTGCCAAACATATCACCCAAAGAGACGAATGGCGATTGCAGCCAGGGCTTCACTAGAAGGACTGGGGAGAACGTGTGTGCACATTATTTTAGATTAAAATAAGCATAGGTCAGATCCATCTACAGTGTTACTTGAAGAGTGATAATAGCATAAGCGGCTTGGGCTGCCCCCCAAAACTGATGCCGACAACGACTAAGGCCGAGATGCAAGCTGGGGTTTTCAAGTGCGAACACAGGACTTGAAACTAAAGCATTAATTTGGAGGATTGTTCACCGGAGGCTGCAGCACACCTCTCGGCTAAAGCACTGCTTCTAGCTCCTGCTGAGCCGCTGTCAGACTTCCTTGTTTACTTGATTTTCATGTAAAGCTGCAAGGGAAGAAGCACTCCATTGCCAATGGCCTGAAAGTCTCCTCTCCCAGTCTGTCCTGCCCAGCAGACTTGAGCCACAATAGCAAAGCCAAGGCAGGACAACGTCCCATAATGCCAGCAGCAGAAACATTGCACACCCATCGCAGCAAATGGCTCTCCAATGGTTTATCTGACAGCAAACCGTCAGGCATTTTACTCAGTTCAGTGAAGAGATGCCATTTAGAGTGATTAAAAATTGAAAAAAAACCCAACCCCATGGCACACGGTATTTATGTGGTTTCAAGACACGGCACTACGGTACATCAAAGCAAATCCTTTTGGCCTGATAAACAAGCATGGCTGTCTCTTTAAGCAAAATAACTTGCACGCTTCATTCAGAATCCCTTGGCAATCTCGCGTGAAATATCTGAAGAGGAACCAACGCAGGCAGCTGTTCCTGCTTCCTTGACTGAGCTGAGCCTGCCGGCAAAACTCACACTTCAGGAGGTGTTGGAGTCTCTTTCCTGGGCATAGCCGGGGGTTCCCGACAAAGTGCCGCCTTTTGAAGTTGCCCTCTGGAGAAAGGCATCAAACACCTGTGCTATGTGACATCCTTCCCTCCCCATAATGTGCATCTCCCCCTCTCAAATCAAGCCCCGGCAGGGAGGGGTGTAGTCGCAAATGGCCAAGTGCATTCCTGGAAACCCAAAGCGACTCCCTTGCAATAAGCAGACATGTCAAATATCCTATAGACTGTGATTTAGATGTGTGTGCTTTATCAGGGTCCCAGGTCAGACCCCTACTTTCCAAGCATCCCCCTTGCACGCTGGAGACGCTTGGATCCAGATCTCGGTGCTTACCCTGGCGTCCACAGGACAGGGCTTTACTGACGAGCTGGGGAAATAACCCGATTTCTTGGTCTGTATTAACCTCCCCTGTAAAAAATAAGCGAAAGACAAAGATCAGCACTGGGGAAAGTGCTTGCAGGGGCATGTTTTCAGCACAGCGCTAGCAGGATGAGACAGACTGCTCCGGCCACTGGTGATTGCAGGCTGCATCCCTCCCTGACCCAGCCTCCCAAGACGTACCCTTGGAAACTCTGACCCCGCGAGATCACACGCCAGCGGCCAGGGCTACGAGTGCCGTCAAAAACAAATCAGAGGACTCTTGAGATGACCCAGCTGCCACAACTGAAGTGTCTCTGGACATTTCCCAACGGGCAGCTCCGCTCACCTCCCACCACTGGGAATCCGGGTCCCCTCGCAGCAGCTCTATTACATCCCCAGTTTGAAATGTTAGCACTGGTTTCCCCGGAGGAGCTGGGTTGCCATGGTAATTCTGAACTGCCACCATTTTAGGACCTAGAAAGAGAAATGGAAGAGCAGCTTCGTTAATCGTTTTGTTAAAAAGAACAAGACCGGTTGTCACCGCCACATCCCTTTGTGACCCATCCAGCCGTTGTTACTACAAGCACCCTTTGTGACCCTGAGCATCAGCTGCCAGGATGTGTTCAGCAGAGATCGTGAAGGCTAATGGGATCGTTAATGATTGTGGTACCATAGTGGCAGGGCATCCTTCCTGAGCATGGGCCACCTTCCTGCTCCAGACCCATGCACGCCCCTTAGGTAGTGCCAGCATCATCCCTGCTGCTCGCTCGCAAGCAGACTGGAAACTGAGGCACCTTGAGGCGACTGCAGGGAGAGACCCCCAGAGCAGCTTCACCTGGATTGGGAGCATGCACGCAGGTCGGGCATCCCTGCAGAGACAGGCTGCCGCTGCAGTATAAGCATGCCCACGGAGTTGCAATTAGCCTGAACTAAATGGTTCATTTGAGAATGAGCAGCAATCAGAATAAAATGTGGGCAGATAAAGCTGGGCCGGACGAAACCCCAGCTCCGGACTCTGGGGACAGGCATCACCTGGACTTGAACACTGCTGTTTCGGGTAAGCTCTTGTCGGCCAACAAGCTACAAACAAACCACCATAGTAAGCACCATAGTAAGCACCAAAGACTGGGATTGCAAAAGGGTCAAATAACCACTCGGTTCCCACAGGGTTTCAGTGGGGCTGGGGACACAAACTCCCTGTGGTCTCTTTGTAATTCTCTGCAAAAGTCCATATGCTTTGCAAATGATTGCACATGAAATATTCCTCCTCAGCTGCATTCAGCCAATAATACTTGTTCTTAACCCTTTCTTACAACAGCTTTCTCCCCCAGCCCGGATCAAACAGAAGCAATAGGCCTTAAAAGCAATCTTTTAAAGATTCCCAGCTAGGGCTAGGTGAATTTCTCTTACAGGAAAGAAGCCAGACAGTGCATTCGGGACTATCCCAGAACCACAGGCTGCATTAGCAGAGGAAAGTGCAATAGTGACCAAAGTGAATCATGATCTCTTCAGGAGACAACTGCAGGAGTTGCACCATGAATTATTACAACCACTGTGCTCTGGGCTTGCAATCTTACAGGAGGATGTTCCACGCCTGTCCGCCTAACCGGGCTCTCTGCCGAGACAAGATTGGTTTATTTCCAGGGAAGATCTGGCACAATAAATTTCCCCCACTCTCTTTGGGAAAGAACAGTTATTTACGGGAAGCAGAAGTCTTCCAAGCAGTCAGCCAAGGAGCCAAACAGCACAAATGCAATAAAGCAAGGCAGTATCAAAATGTCAGTTGGCATGGGATGGCACTGGAGAAAACCCTTCTTGTGGTTTTGGGCTACTTATTTGTAGAGGAGGAAGAGACTTAGAAGGATTCTCACAGAAGACCAGCTGGCTTGGGCTCAACTCCATTGCCTGTTTTGTGCAGAAAGCAAGGTGCCCTTCTGCAGATATCGAGGCTTCTTATAATAGAGAAAACAAATGTGCTTAAAGGAGGAGGAGGAGGGACAAAGGGGAGAGGGACCTATAGGTGATAGGCAGGAGCAAATGTCTCCAATAGGGCTTTTCATGATGTCACTATTTTTTTTGGCAGTGGGAGATGGGGGAGAAACGTCCTCAAATGACATTAGGTGCAAAGCCCAGAGAACCCCCTTCCAAAATTTGCCCACAAGCTCTTTGAACCAGAATCCAAAGGTGCCACCCCCGCACCTGCCCTTTTTTAAAGCAACAAAACCAATGACGCCCTTACCAGGTCCTACATTTAACGGGTCCTGCAGAGAGAGAGAGAGAGAGAGAGAAAGGAGCAGGTTCAATTAGGCTTATTGCTACTGAATGTACTGGAAGATAAAATACTACATTGTGCACCGGAGCAAGCTCTGCTCTGCCCTTGCTACCACAAAGTCCCACAAGCAGTTGTGGCAGGAGTCACTGTTTTCCAGGGGGCAGGGGAATACGGCGTCATTCCTCAGAGATAACCGTTCACGTTTAGGACAGGAGAGTTTCAATTCTCTGTAGGAGCAGACTTCACAGATAGACAAAGGAAATACCGGGATGAGAAGTCATCCCCTTAACGCCCCGCACAGGTGATCTGAAAATCAGCATCGCTGGCAGCTCAGTGGGTGAGTATGCCCGGTGCTGCCCACCACCAGGGGAGGGTGAGGACAGTAGTATTTTAAAAAACAGGCCAATTTGAGCTAAAACAAAAGATATCTGTCACCGGGCCTGATCCTACAAGGTGCTCAGCCTTTTCAGATCCTACTTAAGTGAAAGGAAAGCTGGAGCATTCAAAGGTAACCAGAAACATTTAAAAGAAACCAGGAGCATTCAGTTCCCGGTGGGATCAGACCCAGGTCAGGAGGGGCTCAAAAGATCATCTGGTGTTATATGTTCAGTGCCTGCTGGGGACTCTCCCCAAGGGCCACCTCTTCTGCCGAAAGCTCGTGGCAGTAATTAAATCTGGACCAGCGAGACGCAGCCGCAGTCGGCCAGACAATCCCTCCCCACGGATGGGCGTTCAGCGCGGATGAGACGGCCGTGAAACAAACATACCTGGTCTGCCGAGGAACCTGAAAATAGACGTTAAAATAAAAGGGTTAATTTAGGGAGAACCACATCCTGCTTGACATCTCACTCTGCTCAAGGAGACAGGAGCCAAGTGACTCCATGCACCAGCCTGTCTGTATGTGGTGGTGGTTTGGGAGCAGGAGAGGGCTGGTATGTTCATTAGGAATTAGAATAAGAACAACATCCCGCCATCACCACATCAAGCCAGATGCAGTAGTTATTATACCCTCCTCATTAGGAGTGAATTACTCCCTTCTTCCCTATCACTCGCACACGCATACGTACACACGCACACTTGCTCTCGCTCTCTCATCATCTCCATTAAGAACATGCAGATTATATCCCATTGTTCTGGCTGGTCACCCAGAGAAAGGAAGTGATCAATAATAAGAAAGAGTTATGATACTGGAACCAGCTTTAATAGAGAAAGCAATTATGTGTTAGTTTTTAATTATTCAGGAATAGGATGTAAATTTTTAGATGGAATTTAATGCAAAGAATAAAAGGCAAAGAAAAAGGTTTTGGATGATTCACAAGCAACCGAGTCCCTTTTGAAAAGCAGCTTAAGATACCGGGAGACTTACTGATCTTGCATGGTGGGATGATTTCCAAGCATTCTTTGTGAGCACCTGCCCCACATTGTGCGCAAAGATAGCCCTGGTAGAAAGTTCCTCTGTGAAAAGAGATGTTGGAAAGTCATGAATTTCATCTCCCTAATTACTTGCCCTCCTAATGACCATTTCCATTTTCTTTCATGTTCAATAATTTGTTTTAAGCTGTTCTTGGAGTTGTTGGCGGTAGTAATGCTTGTGGAAGACCCCAGGATTGACCCATTTTGAGTTTATCTAACTACCAGGGGTAAGAACACCCACAGGCCTCCACGCTGTGCTGAAAGAGCACCTCTTTGCGAACAAGGTGGCTCAATCTTCTTCTCCTTAGGCTCGAGGCTGAGGATTGAGCTTATACCTGCTGCTGTGCTGTTGTATACAGCATGGATATTTGCTCACTGGGATTGAAACCCTGGTTTATTTTCACTTTGGCCACCGGCCTTCACCTGATAGCAACCCTTCAAGCCAGAGCTAACTTGGAGATTCAAGGTGGTAGCCGCATGGGATGTGGCTCTTTTCCCCTCTACCATTTCTAACCCCCCCACCCTCCCATTACGCAGGCCACCTTATGAAAACTGGAAGTCAAGGTACAGGCCTGTTT